ACCTGGTATGATACCAGCAGCGGTTCTTTCACATTGTCTTTCCGGCGTTTGGGGTTGCAATTAAAGTCACAAGGCACTTGCAAGGAATGGGTCTATACTGTCAGTTTTGCAGTTGTCGTTTGTGTTTGCGATGAATTCAATCATTCGTCGTCCCTGCTTGTTATGGAGCGGGGACAAGCATTTACTGCTATCAATACCTATGTTTGCATTTCTTTACCTAGTGTCGCTGATGCAGCTGAGATACAGCGGATGTAATGAACGAACGTGTTTCTTTGTTCTTCCATGCTCAATGTCTGGTGATGTGATGTGACTTGGGTTTGCCGGGTTGAGGCATGCTACTTACGAGGCTGTGGAGGGTTGGCCAGAGGCTGACTGACCGGCTTGGGGTTGACAGAGCAGGAACAGGAGAAAAAGAAGGAACAGAAAGAGACAGCCATCAGGACGGGAGGCTAAGCTCTCTGGTCGCGCCAAAACAGCGAAGACGGGAATGCCCTGGAGAGAAACTTTTCCTTCAGGGAGGCACGATGGGATTAATGAGAAAAGGAAGGAGGGGGACAGAAGAGAGTACTCGTTTTGTTCTCCCCGAGGAGGCCAGTGCCTTTGAGGCCCACAAGGAGACTATCCGTACCGCCAGCTTCTGCGACCCCATCCCAAACTCTCACCTTCACGGGCCATGCCCTCCGTGTCCGCAAGGACCCTTACATCGAGAACTGGGAGACCGAGCGCGCTCAGGACATTTTTACTGAGTTACAACGGTTGACAATATTCCAACGGTTGATCACTTGCCAATGCTTGTGTAGAGTACCTTATCTAAGGATCAGTAAATTTGAGCAACCGTCACCTTGACATGAGACCCAATTGATGGGTCCAAGACGGTCCGTACTACTCCATGGTCTTCTTGGGTACCTTATCTTCCCTTCTAACCACACCTCTACGACACTCTCTCAGATCAAATCAAGCCCCTATTTCTCTCTTCCAAAAATGCATCCACAGTCATCAACCTCTCCAATAACCCCAATTCCTTCGCCGCTTCTACCCTATAATTCGAATCGAACTCATTCGCCCATTGACCTCTGGCTAATGGCTATTGGATCCATATCACTCACTGTCCTCCCCGTTTCCCAGTCTTGTTCCGAGTCGTCATCATCATCCGCCGGCCAGGTCCAGGTCCAAGGCTCATTCGCATACCGAACCCTCACCTCCTCGCCCAATACCTTCCCCAAGGTATCCTCTCCGCAAGCTCACCGACGGTTATACTCTCCACCGCCAAATCTACACTACGCCTCTATTTCGCCACTTCTTGTTGCTCTCGCTCTCCCCTTGCGTCTCAGTCTCATCGTCAACAACACGTGCAGCTACCGCACCAACATCCTCGGCATCCATCGCACCCACGCCACCCGCGTGCCGTGCTCTCTTCCACTTCGTCCTGATGGTCCTGATCTTATCTATCCTCTGTGTCCTTGACCTTCCAGCCCAGATACGACCATCCATCCAACCATGCGCTGACTGTGTCAGCGAGTGCTCAGTAAACGAGAGCCGCTTCAGATGAATCACTCCCGAGCATTAATGCTTCAGAAGCAAGTCATGTTCGGATGCATTGATAAGCTTACCGTAGGTGCTCGGCCGGAGAGACATACTGCTACCCTCGGCTAGTCGATTGTTGTTAGTAGGCAATGACATGGGACAGTGCCTTCAAGAGAAAAAGGCCATTATGATCATTTCATGCTACAGCCACTTTCTCCACGTCCCGAGGAAAAGCCTGATGCAACGCTGTTACCACATAAGCATTTGATCCAGTCCAGTTATAAAACCACCAGCATCCCAATCAATATCACACGCCCCAGCCCGCCGGCTCCCGAGAAACACCGACTTAGCACACCTCAAGCATGTCCCCCATAGCACACAGACGCCAACTTCCCCCCCTCTCCGCCTAACACCTGCTCATGCTTCCCACTACTCCCCGCCTCCCCTTCCCCTTCCCCTGATCCCCCTCCCAAGTTCACTCTAAGCACCTTCTCCCCAATCTCCTTAACTTTCTCCACCATATCCTTCCCACCTGCCAGCATCTTCTCACTGTTCAACCCAACACTACAATTAACCTCCTGCCTACTCGGCTCCCTCACATCAATCGCCGGATTCCTGTCAAAGAAATTCGCCGGTCTCAACACCACCCTCGTCGTCTCGACAGGCATGACAGGAAAATCCTCGGTTCTGGGAACATGCTGCAGTCCAAACTGGACCCAGACCACGGGCTCATCCCCTCCCTCTGCATCTAGTTTATCGCGACGATTACGATCAGCAGCTGCCCACGAACGAACACCGGTCCCGCCCCGCGATTGGTTCGTGTATTTCCCTCCTGCGTAGAGCTCGCCCTCGCGGTATTTGGTTACATACACGCTGTGATCGGCGAACTCGGCTCTCTTGTGGTGGAAGGAGGACGGGTGGGCGAGCATGGGCTGCATGGGCGGGATGTGCAGCTTGTAGCCTGGTGGGGAGTTGTTGATTGGGTTATGACTGGAAGGGGAGAGGATCTTGAAGACGCGGCCGGTTTGGGGAGACAGGTCGTAGCCGCCTGGTTCTAGGATGGGGGTTGTGCGCAGGGTGTAGCCTGTGCCGTGCGGATTTTGGGTATTGGCGGAGGGGTCTTTGGACTGTGGGTCAAAGGGCAGGGGAACGCATTCTTCGTAGACGATGGCGTTACGGGGTCCTGTAGAAGGGGAGAGGATAGGGGCGGAAGAAGTTGATAGCATGGGGTCGATTCGTAACGAAAAAAAGTGCTGGTGGTAACCGGCTAGAACACCTGGGTGGACTATAGTCCCGTAGGGGTGCGGGGTGTGTGACAATTCCAGATCGACGGGCTGGGTGGACAAAACCCCCGTGGCGCGGGCTTCGTACGCGAGGTCGGCTGAGGTGTTGAAGACAAACGATAAAATGTATTCGTAGTTGGACACGGTAAGAATAGTTTGGAGAACGAGTTCCCGCTGCCGAGTCACGACGGCCCGGTTGGTCCGGTAGTTGGTGTGCTTCCACCCAATACCGGCGTCTTGCTCGTGCACGCAGATCACATTGGGCATGTTGACCGGCGAGCCGCTGCCGTCTGTCAAGACGCCCGAGATGTAGTAAATGGATCCCAAGCAGTCGCACCCCAGCTTGAGGTTGTTGGCCATGATACCGGCGCCAGCGTCACCCAAGTCAAACGCGGCTTTGCGGTGGAAAGGATGGCGAGGGTCCGAGTAGGGAATCGCCATGTCACTCAACGACAAGCGATAAAAAAGCGGCTTGTTGTCATAATGCACGTCGTAAAGCACCATTCCCTCGCGCTGGTTGAAGCCAACCTTGAAATCCCATTTCTGCCACCGAATGAGCCGGCCCATCTCGGAGAAGGGCTCCACGGTGAAGGACACCCCCTCGGGCTGGACGACGTGAAGAGGCTTGAGGTCTGTACGAAGCGAAGCCTGCGCTTCAGGGATATACTCATTCGGCGGCCGTGGCTGCCACGGCTTTAACGGCTCGACCTTATCGTCCAGTCCCGTAGGGAGGATATCAACGCGGATAACCTCCAGCGTGGCCGGGTCGATGACGGGCGAGATGGGAAGCGGAAAGGCGTAGTGGCACGAATCCGGCTCGGACGAGTTCTCGGGATCGCGCATGTACAGGAAACATTGCATGACACGGAGATCATCGTAGAATTTCCCGGACTCGGTCTCGTGCTTGATGCCATCAGACCCGTAACCCCAGGGATCGATGACGATTTGTGTTCCCTCAGGAAGCTTCAGTTTGGCAATCTCGGCTTGAACTTTGGGGTCAGCGAGAAGGGCTTGCTCAACAGCCATGATCTCCTCCCCGTCGCTGTTGGCATGTTGGAAGGGTCCCAGCTTGGCGTTGCTTTCGACTGTGTTGTTGGTCAAGTTTACGACGGCTTCGTACACGTTATGAGTGCCGCGGAGGGAGTAGACGACAAAGGATCGTCTGTCGATGTCTAGCGGTGTCTGGCCGGCTCGTTCGGCGACGAGGTAGGGCATTAGTTGGGCTTTGGCGGGCTCGAGGAGGGTGATGATTTTGAAGTGGATTTCTGTTCCTGAGGGCCATGAGGCTTTGATCCGAATGGAGCTTTGCGTGATCTCGGAGGCTGTGAGAGGGCCGAGGGGGTGGGATTGGTAGGCTGGGGGAGGGACGTCGGGTGGTGGTCCATTGCTGGCTGTGTTGGCCACGCTCAGAGGTGCGTGGCCGGGCTCTTCTTTGCTGGTTGCTTCTTTGGTGTTTGCTGTCATGTTGGCTTTCTCTTGGTGTGTTGATGAACGAGTGTTTCCGTCGAGGGAGAATGATGTCTTTATAAGAGGAGAAGTGATGTTGATAGCGGGGTAAGTATCACAACGGCCGATCACCATCCAATCTTATCTTCCCTACCAAGAAAGTGACAAACCGATGCCATTGGAGAAACCCTCCTTCTCTTTTGAGCGCCGAGCGGGATGGATCATGGACGCCATTGATCATCTCGGACTCCAACTTGATGAGACAGCATCTCGCCAAGGTAGGAACCCGACCTTGTACGTAACCGCTTTCTGGGCGTGGTGATTCTGTCCTGTCTCTTGAACCCCTCATTATCATTGTCCACGACAACAAAACTGGAAAGAAATGCCGGAAGTGGTTGGTTAACCATCGCCCAATATCGCCAAATGTTGTCCAGAAGAGGAGAAGAACAGCGCCTATTCTACTACTGTTCCACGGGGTCGGATACAGATACTTCCCCGCATCTTGGTTGCTCCAAATTTACCCCGCTCGCTCATTGTTTGCGCTGTGATATCGATCGGACGTGTCTTTCGCAGTCAGTTCCCATTCATCCAGACCAGCAACAAAACCCAGGATGGTGGTGGTAGTGATTTGCAAATTGGTGACAAAAAAAAAACCCACAAGAAAAAGGAGAAGTAAACAAAGCTGAGTGGAGAACATTGCATCCAAACACGTCCAAAAAAAGCCGGAAAAAAAAAGCACAAAAGAAATGGGACCTGGGAGGCTCGAACTCCCGACCTCAGGATTACTCCGATGTTTTATTTCACCAGATCATAGGAGAGCTATGAGACCTGCGCGCTAGCCAACTGCGCCAAGGTCCCTGTGACCTTTTGTCAGATTGTGTTGCAGATTTGGCTTTGCAAAAGTGTTAATATACGTCCAGACGCAACAACCGGGAATGGGAATGAATGGATGCACGCACTTTGTTTACTTCTCTTTTTGAGGTTTGAAATGTCGTGAACGTAGGAGGGATCCATTATGACATGATTGAATGATTGAATGAATCAAGTTGCCAGAAAAAAAAAAAAAAAACTGCCGAGATGCCAAACACCAATGTTACCTTACCTTGTTCGGAAGCCCAGTAATACAGCCGTATTTTCTACATTCGGCTATTTTCCAGTAAAAATCTACAAGTCGCTGCACTTCCCACCCAACTCCCCCAATGGGCCGCATTTGACCAATCAGAAGGCCAGAAATCGTTGGAGTTCAGTTCTTACTGCGTTCTTTGCTTTTATACTGCGTGAAAACCCATGTTTATGCCAGTATGAGAGCACTGGAGACTGGATTTCTGTCGGTTTTTCTTACTGGGGCACCCGTTTTTCTTCCTTTCTCCGTCGTTCAACCAACACGCCACACCCAGCATTTCCCAAAGCTTGATAAGTGTGCTTTGGAGGATTTGGTGTTTGGGTGCTTTGAGATAAGATGATAGGACAGAACGAGGAAAAGTCACTGGCGAAAACTCGACTCGGTTCCTTCCTTCTAATAAGCAACCAGCCATGCCTTTAAAATGAAGGAAAGATCAGTGATAAATTGTGATAGCTAAGGTAAGGTACCCAGTATCTCCAACAAGTCGACAATCTACTGCTTCCTGCTTCGCCCATCCATCCACACCTTGCTTGAACTTTTTTTCCTTTCCTCCATCACACCCAAACCCACACCCCCAAAGCCACCTAGTCTGACCTAACCCTCCTTCTCATCAACAACCTAGCGCCCCAATCCGTCATGGCCATCTCATTAACATAGCCCGTCTTGGGCCTTCCCTTTTCGGGATTCGCAAACTTGAACTCAAACTCATACACCATCCTCGCCATGATAAGTTTAATCTCAGCCACAGCAAACTGTCTCCCTGGGCAAGCCTGGTTTCCGTATCCAAAACCCAAAACATTGGGGTGCGTCTGGCCGGCCATGTGCAGATTCATTTGGTCCGGGCAGGAGTGGCGTTTGCGGTAAAAGCGCAACGGGTCGTACTCGTGCGGGTTGGAATAGGTGAGGGGGTCGTTCTGGTGCTCGAGCATGGGGAAGGCGACGCGGGTGCCGCGGGGGATGAAAGTGCCGTCTTTGAGGGTTAGGGAGGAGAGGGCTAGGCGTTGGGGGCCGACTTTTTGGGTTTGGGTTTGTTAGTTCCGTTGTTGGGTCTGAGAAAGGGGGAAGGAAAGGGAAAAAAAAAAAAAAAAGGGAAAGGGAACGGGAACTGAAAAAGAAAAAAAAAAAAACATACGAAGAATAGGCGGTTCCCTCCTCTGCGTCTCCTGAAAGAAACTATCCATCTTCTCCAACCTGACACACCACTCCTTGACACTAACACCTCCGGTCTTTCCAGCCATCCCCGGCGGCCCCAACTCCTTGGCAATCGAATCCACCTCCTCCCTCAACACCCCCCACCACTGCGGGTGCTCACAGAGATCAAACATCATATTTGCCGTCTGGCTCGCAGTAGTATGAATGCTCGCCAGCGTCAAGACACACTGTCTCGCACTCATTTCTTCCACTTGGACTTCAGACCCTTTGCCATGATCAAGCATCCAATCGAGCAATGTATCCTGCGCTTTTTCTTCCTCTTCTTCCGTCAAAGCCACTTCTCCCCTCGCAGCAGCCTGAGCTCGCTTCTCTTTGAGGGAGTCATGCTTAGCCATTTGTGCTCCAACGATACGTTGAGCAGCGCTGAGTTGCTTCAACACCCTCCTCCTCGCCGGAATCAGCGGCGCCACGACTGGATACATCCAAGGGGGGAACATCTTCATTGTGAAAGATGCTGTGAAAAGGTCAATGGAGAAATCGACGCTGATTCCCAACCACGTCTCATCGCGACAGGCCGGGTCTCCCAAGAAGACCTTGGCTGTCATGCGGGCTACCAAGTCACGGACTGTGCGCTCAAAGTCGATTTTGACCCATTCGTTCCCGTTGGTGGCGAGGTCGCGGAGGGGGAGGGAGATGTCCCACCCGTGGGAAAGCTCGGTGGAGGCCGAGTCGATGAATTTCCAGAGCTCGGGGGTGAGTTTTTTGCGGAGGACGTCGACGTGCAGATTGTTGGTTAGGAGGAAGGTGATGCCGTGGTATTCGGGGACGAGGTTCTGCGGACGTTCTGTTAGAGAAGTGATTCGGGATAAGAGGGAAAGAAACCTAGGGAAAAAAAAAAGAAAAAAAAAAAAAAAAAAAAAGGACGTACGGCGACATTAGCACCCTTGTTACTCAGCTTGCTCAGCGGGATCAGGCGTAGCTCGTCCAGGTACCGAATGGGCAAGATCAAGAAATCGGCGTCGTAGCGTTTGAGAACAAAGGGCATGTTTGGCATCTGTTTTTTTTTTTTTTTGCTTTGTTAGACTAGCCTTCTTCCTTGCATTTCTTTTGATCAATCAAAATTACATAACATACCTTTGTATAAGCCTCATGAATCAACTCTCTCGCCCCTCTCACGAACCTCGTCTGCAACAAGAACGTTGGCTCGAACCACGAGCGATAACCGAAGACGGGGACCGTGAGCTTCTTTTGCTTGCCGTTGGTGAGCCATTTGGCGGTGCGGGAGAGGAGCCAGGATGTGAGGAGGATGAGAGCAAAGGTCTTTGGGTAGCTTAGGTGCTCGATTCGGTCTTTCATGTTGATGGCGAGTCGGAAGGGGTTGATGTGGTGTGTTTCTGGAATGGGGTCATGAGTCCCTGGTGGGGAGGAGATGTTGTGGAGTGTGTTCATGGTGTTGTTTCTGTGTGTTATGATTTGTGAAGACTTGGTTGAGAATATGATGGAAGTGGATGATATGGTTTGAGGTTGAGGTGGGAGAAAGATGTCTCCGTTGTCCTTTATGTCTTTCTGACTCTTGCTGACCGAACCACTTTTCTCTTGCCCTGATCACGATTTCTCCAGCTAAGGTGAAGCTGTACTTTTTCACTCATTTCCCCGAGGGCTGAGGGTCGGAGTCAGTGATGACGCCGAAAAGTTGAAGCTATCACATATGATCCTACACATGTGAGCTGAGTCGGACTAGAGTTCCAGTCCCTGATGCTCGTGCTCACCGGCCAGTGATGACATTCAAGGGAAAGTCAGGGAACTCTGTCTCCACATGGCACTGATGTCTTTCCTCATCACAAAACCTTCCTGCGTTCTTCGGTTGCAATCGTTAACGGCCATGCAACCGGAAAACCGGCAAGATAGGTAGCCGCTGGACTCCGGATGTCGTGCATATCAAACACACCAAGAAGGCAAGTCCGACTTGACAGTTCGTGGCTGTCTGGTGGATACTCCATGTCCGAACAGCGATCACCTACCTCTCAGCTGCCGGTATCAACGTGTGCTCCATGTCCGTGGAGATATCCGGTCATGATATCTTGGAGCCATCACAGCTGGAATTGGTTCTCAACAGGCATTGAGTGGTTCACCATTTCGCCCTGTGAGGAGGCAAGTCTGAAAGTGGACGACTTCTCCCAGATGTCTATATCCCGCAGTGGATGCAGTGGGTACAGTGAATTTCCCAAAACTGCGGTGCGGAACATGGCTCGAGACCAGAAATGACTCTTATTGAGCTATGTTGGCCTGGTGTTGAGACTTCGGAGTTTCTTTGTGAACAGTGTGTACCCTTGCCGCGCTGAGACAGGGATGTTGAAGCTATTCGCAATCACAGACACTGTGGGGTCGTCGTAGGGCGAGCAGGGCCAGCAGGGTCATGTCCATGTCCGCACGTGGTGATCTGCAAACATGTCTTGGAATAGTTTCCGGCATGAGAGCGGGAACCCAAGTGTCGCGGCTACTCGCACTTAATAGCGTGCGTGCCGGAATGGCCGATGTCTGGGAGAGAAACTTTTGAGTACGACGGGATTTCAGGATTCATCCAATATTCGTGGAGGTAGTTACCTATATTTACACCTGGGGGAATCACCACTAGTCTAGAGGCTGAATTAGGGCACTGACCACTGTAAATGTGCACGGGAACCCGATGATTTACAGTTAATAGCTATAAGTGGTGGGGTAATAACTTTTATTATCTCTTTAAGCCGTCTTCAGTGCCCCGAAATGTTAAGGAACCATAATGCACCAGCGGGGCCAGTCGCCACCTACAACAAATCCCTCACCAAAAAGCCTCCATACTGCAGTTTCTGAAAAACACCATGGCCATCATACTTTGCTGCAACTTCCTTGATCATGCCAACATTCTCCTCGCCAAACCCCCTCAGCACATCCTGCCTCTTGTCGGCAAACGTGGGACAAACAAAATCCAACAGCAAGCCCTTATCCTCAGCCGTCTTCTTGACCTGCTCGTAGATGCTATCCATGGCAGTCCGATGGACAGAATCATGTCCGTTCTTGGGGTACTCCAAAGTGAACACGTACCAGTTCTGCGACACCTCCTTTAAGCCAAGCGCGTTGCCGCCCGTGCCGTTATCGCGACCGGCGCGTGCGGCCGCGGCAGTCACAGGTTGGATGGTGTAGTGCAGGTCTGTGCCGTCGGCGGAAGAAGGGAGCGTTGCCGTTACGTCTTGCCAGATGTTGTGGATGGCGAGGTAGAGGTCTTGGTCGACTTTGGTGGAGATGGTGAAGATGACGCGTCTATTGGAAGGGAAGTAAAGAGGGAGTGATTAGCATGGGCAGATGGTTGCGATGAGGGGATGGGGGTGGAAAGAATGAAGAAAAGGAGGGGACAACTTACTTGCCCTTGGGAGGCCGATGTCCGATGGCCTGCGCCAGCGTCGAAAGCGTGCCATCCGTCTTTGGCACAACCGGCGCCAACATGCTGTCCAGCTTCTTGAACGGCTCAAACACCTTTGGTTCTTCCTTGGGCGTATCGGCATACAATTGTCCAATGGCGACAAAGTCCCTATGGACATTGGTAAAG